CGTTGGCGGAAGAAGGTGATGACAGAAAGTGATAGATGACGGTGGTTGGCGGCTACAGATTCATGCGGATGATAGCTAAATATGTCGATGATTACTCTGACTCCTCTCTCAATAACAAGCTTTTGAATTTCACTTTCTCATTCTTTTTTTTTGTAACTCTTCTGAAGTGAAGAGAGGGGGCATATTTATAGCTTTTTTTTGGGTAGGGGAATTTTTTGCTTTATAACCAACTGATCGGATGGTCCATCTTGATCTCCATTATTTATATTTGATTTTTTAAGAATTTGGGTATCTTAATGACCTTAGAATTCAACGACCTTAAACTCAATGGATTTCTCTCTTTGAGATGCTCAATTCAAATTTAAATATATATGTTGGATTTGAAATTCATTTAATTATTTAATTGACGATCTAAAGTCTTTAATTGTGCTTCAAGGGATTGATCTGAGCTTAATTGAACTCGGATTGAGCCAATTTTAAACTTGGAATTTTTTTTTTCGAGACAGTCAGCTTGACTTAACTGTGTACTTGTTAAAATCGGGGCCCAACGGTCTTAAATTTAAACTTAGAATAATTTTTGCTAAAAAATACATTGGGATTCATGCTTAATCGATCATATATTTGGTGATATAACAATAATAATTCACTACAAATTAGATTTCAATGAAACAAATCTGATTATTTCCCATTACATTTACATACATACCACACACTTCCTATATTTTTACATATATAATAACCAAACTATTTTTCTTACATTCATACCATCCAAATCTTCCATCTTCCTTGCATGTAAATTGTTATCAAAGGTGGAATCATAATAGGCTGAGAGATACTCATATAATCTTTAAATTTTTACTAATTTATTTAATATCATAAACTAACTAATTCACCCCCTAAATTTAAATATTTAATAATAATAATTTTTAAAATTTAAATTCATATTTATATTAATTTTAAAAATTAATTTTAAGTAAAGGGAATTTTTAAGATTAAGTACTTGTAATTGTTTAATTATTTATTTCCTCATATCATCCATAGATTTTTTTTACTAAATTAATGTTAATTATATTTTAATTAAAACATATTTATATTAATTTAAAAAATTAAGGTCTTAATTATTTATTTCTTTCTTATCTCTCCTTAAAACATGTTTTGGTCTTTGAAGATATCAATACTATAAATCGTCTGCAAAGACATTTTTTACATTATCTTCTCAAGATTAGCACTACGCAGGCATTGCGTTTTGTTAGACCTCATGAAGGAAAAATAAAGAAGCAAATAGAATACAATATAGTCACAAAAATTATAATCATTATATATTTAATTATATATAGAGTACAACGTGGGGTCGGCTACATGAATACTTTTTCTCCATTGAGTCCTATTTAGTGTCATATTTTCATTTAGTTCTAGTAAGTTAAGATCATTTTTAATACTGTCGTTGTCAGTTCCAAGCCCGAATGTGAAAAGTGGAGGGTTGCGTTAGGTAGTCGACAACCATCGTAAAACTTGTCCAAAAAAAACAATCATGATATGAATCCTTTTAATTACATATAGAGTAAAATATCAAAATAGTCTCGATTATAGGAATTAACCGTTTTAGTCTCTGAGTTTAAGTATTATGATAATTCATAAATTTTTAAATTGGGGTTGAAATAATTCCCATAAAGAACGGTGAGGTTTTAAATAGCACATAACCTCACGTTTTTTTCCTCGTCTAATCCTGATGATTTGAAAAAGACAGTGAGATTTTAATCCGTTTGAGATGACTACAAAAAATGGTTGTAAAATTATTATAGATTTTTTTTTGAGAGAGCTATTGCTAGTATTATAAATACACATACTTTTTAAGAAGAAATGATCAATAATTTTTTATAGCTTCACTAATATGACACTAAAAACGACAATTATTTACACACTAAGTTGAGTCAGCTACATCAATTCTTTTTCTCCCGTCTTATTGAGTGCATGTATTCATTTAATTCTAACATGCACAAATTTTTTTTAGGTCCATCTCGATCTTCCTTAACATAAGTCAAATCTAAAATGCCTACTCTACTCAGCGGGACATCCAATGGTTGAAATTTAACATCAAAGTACTCTCTCTAATCTTGCCTAGCACTAGAGCCACAACAACACTTACACAAATATATTCATTTTACATTTCATCTCTTAAGTGTAAAGTCACTCAAATCACCTAAGCATTCTTATCTCAATAAAACATAGCTTAGTTTTATGCTCTCTTTTACAGGCCAATATTCTGTGTCATAAAACATTGCAAGTCCGAACATTATCTTATAAAAATTTTTCTTTTAGTCGAAGTGGTATTTTTCTATCACACAATAGGCCCGACACATCACACTTTAAAGTTTTAGTAAAATAACTCAAAAAAAGTCTCTTTACTCATCCCAACAACCATAGACCAACAAACAAGAAAAATAGCCCATGCATCAAATAATGCTTCATCATAGAACATAACACTCTTATAGATAAAACATAATGGTAAACCATACAAAGAACCCCTGAACTCATCAATCAACAACAAAAAACATATTACAAGCTCGAAACTATTATTTTAGGTGCACAACAATCATGTATATTTACTTCTAAGTACATGAATTTACATCCGACTATATACAACATCTAAATTTCACTCCCATTCCACCATCATATCAACCTCATCATGACCATCAACCTCACCCTCCAGAAGCCATTGTTCAAGCTCATCAAGCTCGTCTTCTTCGTGACGATACCAGCCAAAAGAAGAATCCCAGAATCCGTTTCCGAGTTCCTCGCCTCGGCACACAATTTTCAAGTAAGGCCTGCTTTTGCTTAGAGAATCAACCATATCCCTGTTCAGGCAACCATTTATCCCTAACCATCTCAGCCTCGGGAAGTAAGGTTTCTTAAACCATCTGATTGCCAGAGGAGTGATGCCACCACACTCGTATATATCCAGCAAATGCATGCTGCTCCCAAACGACCCACCCTCGACTTGCATCGATGCCAAGGCCATGACCGAAGTGTCTCCAATAAGCGGACACTCACGGATTCGAAGTTCGGCAATCGGTATTCGTGTTTTCGCCAATGATAATATTCCGTTGTCAGAGAGATTAGGGATCCTTGAAAGATCACACATTTGAATCCCACGTCCAACGGAACCGCAGAATAGTGCCGGAATACAAGCATCCGTCAGCTTAGTCAGCTTCTTGCAACCTCGGAGCGACAACGATGCTAATGGAAACCTTCCTTGGCCCAAAAATGAGAGACCAACATCGGTAATATCGGCGCCATCCAGAAGCAATGTGTGCAATTTGTGAAGATGAATTAAAGAAACAAGAGCTTGGTCGTCAATATTACAACAATCTCGCAGGTCTAGGACACTCAGATCCGTGTTAAATGACAGATTCTTGATTCCAACATTGGATAAGAGCATACAGCTCCTCAAGCTAACATGTGTTAGGGTTAAGGAAGTGGCAGATATGTCGTGGAAGACAAGGTCCGTCAATTCGCGGTGGCTTCCATGAGAAACCCTAAGTTTGCGGAGGTTAGAGCACGCGTGTATGATAGCCCTAAAACCGGTGTCAGTAACACGGCAAAATCCACCAAGACTGATGCTTTCTAACGAGGAGCAAGTATCCGACATCAAGAGGATACCTAAATCATTCACCCGGCGAAAGTAGGTGAGCAAAAATTCTTGGCTTCGGATGAGTGAAATATGCTTCATTATGCCGTGCTGATTAATATGTTGAAGGCCCAAATTGGTGAGGTCGTAGGATTGTACTGGTTCTACTATTGGTGCATCTTGAAGATCTAGATGTGTTAAGGATGGAAGTCCAATTGAAAGAGAGCTCATTAAGACATCAGTAATATAATCAACTGAGAGGCACAGTTTGTTCAGGTTTGGGAAGACTGATGGCCTCAAAGCACCAGAAGGTTGCGGAGTTTCAACAGCCAAGGCAAGCAGAGCAGTCAGCATTGATATAGGAATATAACCAATCTCGAGGAAGGTGAGCTTATCGGAAACAGTTGCCCATAGTTGAGGGAATTCAGGGTGGTCGAATTCCGTGACGTCAAACAACAAGCTCAAAGACTGGGAAAAAAGAAAAAAAAAACTGCATTAGTAGAGCAATGCAACGCCAAACCCCATACTCGCATCCCTCACATCATCACACACTTAGATATAGTTTCGTAATTTTTGCAGCTTTACTTCAGGCACGATAATAAATTTACTGGATTGGTTTCATTAATTCTAGAAGTATTAATAATTATCAATGGTCTCATGTAAATTCCATGTCCTAGTTCTTCATGATTGTTGCGTCCCGTGCCCTATGTTGCATGGATAGCATATGGAAACCGGGACATAGACACGAGACGACATGGATACAAGGCACTTCTATTAATAAAAAGATATGACAAGGATATGCTTTATAAATCATTATAATAAAAATTATTAATACAAACACACACACACACACACATATACATACATACAT